TCCTTGATTTCCAACTTATTCGGCGTTGGACTTGGTTCTGTGATTTTTTTTTTTTTTAACGTGCTATTTGAGGTTGTTGTTTGTTTAGTTTAAGGTTAGTTTTGTTTGTTATTCCCAATTCGAGTTGACTGTTGTTTCAACTGTTGTTTCACATAATAAGATCAATCCTTTTTTTTTCAAATCTTTGGCGCGTCGCGTATTTTCCTTTATTTCGTTACTAAGGTATACAAAATAAGTAAAAATAAAGTCCTTTTTAATATTTTGTTAATATTTTAATATTATGTTAATATTCCGTTAAGTAACAACTATGAATATTTTTTTGCATTCATGAATTCTGAATTCTGAATTCTGAAAATCTGTAGTATCAAAGTGATAACCTCGGTAAAATTCACGATAGAAACAAAGCCGTATTACGACTATCACAAATTACAGGAGAGAATATATCAAATGTCAAGAATTGATATTCAAGAATTGATATTCGAGAATTGATATTCAATAATTGATATATTATATATAAATAAATAATAATTAAACTCTGAAACGACATAATAAGAAAACTTGTAAATAATGTTTGCTCCAAGATCTTCAAGACCTGCTACCGTTGCTGTTTATCCTTCAAAAAACGGTGGGCTCCGCCGAAAAAAGAAAGGCGAAAATATAACTCCTGCTGTTAGTATTACTTAAATTTCATCAATTCTCTTTATTTAAATAATTCAATAATTCAATAATTCAATAATTCGTTAAATACAATTCCTTCTGCTCATGCTCTGGTCTTGCATAAATGCGTATATACATTTGTATATACTCTTAAGCAATTATTATTCCTATTGTCAATATTATCAATTATTATTAAATTCAATTGTTAAAACAGCTATGAGAGATATGAGATATGAGAGAGAGAACGATTCCAGAAATTTATAGGTGTAAAATAATTACTAGCCACTGGTTGTGCATACATAATACAAAATTTGCTGATAAGATTATTGACTGTTAAAATTTTTTTTTTTTTTTTTTATATATATTTTAACTTAGATTGAACTTGAGCGTATTCTTGGGTTAACAACTTCAAAATCAACTGCAATATCAACCGCTCCTACGCATGATCTTGTAGCTTATGCGGCTGGCTCTGTCGTTGTATTATATAATCACAAGAAAAACAAACAAGTTGGCTTTTTACACGCGTCTTCAGCGGTGACTTCGGCTCCGTCTCAACTCCCTACCGCTTTTCCTAATCGACATACTATCGTTGGTGATTCTATATCAGCGAATCCTTTGAGTTCCTTGGGGTTACTGGAACCTCCAGGTACCAATGCTAATGGAAATTCATCTAAGAAACCAGCTGTGAGCAATAAGGCAAAACCTATATCATGTCTTGCTTTTTCTCCTGATGGTAATTTCTTAGCTGTCGGTGAGGTAAACATTTAATAAATTCGAGTTTCATAAATTATATATTAATTTATTTAAGTTATTATCTTGATAATTTAAATTAATTTTATTATTATTATTATTATTATTATTATTCAGACTGGTCATCAGCCTCGTATATTAATATGGGATGTAGTATCAAGGACTCTAGTTAATGAACTTAAAGGTCATAAATATGGCGTATTAGCAATAGTATTTTCCCCAAATATGAAATGGGTTGTATCTTTAGGTTTTCAAGTGAGTTAATCATCTTTACTTTTTATTACACGAGATTCTATTTTATTTTATTTTATTTTATTTTATTTTATTTTATTTTATTTTAATTTTATTATACATTTACTTTATTAGCATGACGGTTATCTAAATGTTTGGAATTTAAAAACTGGTGCAAAAGTCGCGTGTAACAAAATCACTACCAAGGTCCACACTTTAGCGTTTAACAGGACTGGTTCATTTTTCGTAACTGCTGGCTTGAGGCATGTAAAATTCTGGTATTTTGATTCTAATGGAAATTTACCAAAAAAAACTGCGGTAATTATCTTAATTTAAAAACTTTTTAATCTATTTTTTATCTTAAAATTTTATTAATAATTTAATAATTTCATCTCAGGGTCAATCAATACAAAAAACTGCGCAAGTACTTGATGGGCGATCTGGTATTCTGGGCGATTTAAGAGATAATAATTTTCTCGACGCCGCATGTTGTCAGAAATCAGATCATACTTATTTTGTAACTTCAAATGGATTGTTATGTATGTTTACGGAAGGTAGATTAATGGATAAATGGGTTAATTTGCAGGTATGCCGTATTTTCTTTATTATATTTTAGTAGTATTTATATGTTAGTAGTATTTATACTTATAATTGTATACTTATAATTGTATATTATGTTGTATAAAGGTCAAAAGCGCCTATTCTATTGATGTGAGCCAGCAATATATCATATGTGCTTGCTCAAATGGAATTATTAGGTAAGCCATTTGATTACAAGTTCATTTATATGCTTTCTAGTATGTAATGTTAATTGTCCCTCATTTTTTTAGGCTATTTGAGCCAATAACTCTGAATTATCTGGGTACTTTGCCAAAACCGCATCCTCTGGGTGTGGATTTGACTTTACAGACTGGAACAACTTATAATGGTGCTGGTGATCCTAATGAAACATATCCAGATACAACTGCTATAAAATTTGATGCTGAAACCGGAAAACTTACTTGTATATATAGTGATCGTAGTCTTTTTATATGGGACATTAAAGATGTAAAAAAAATTGGAAAATATAGAAGTTTCCTATACCATTGTGATACTATTTGGGGTGTAGAGGTAAATTAAAATAATTCTTATATCTTATCATTATATATTCTTATATATATTCTCACTATATATTCTTATATATATTCTCACTATATATTCTTATATATATTCTCACTATATATTCTCACTATATATTCTCACTATATATTCTCATTATATATTCTCATTATATATTCTCATTATATATTATTATATATTCTTATATATATTCTCATTATATATTCCCATTATATATTCTTATATATATTCTCATTATATATTCTTATATATATTCTTATATATATTCTCATTATATATTCTCATTATATATATTCTCATTATATATTCATTATTATCATATTATTATCATGATATTATCATGATCTATCATTTTTAGATGGTACCACACGATGCTGCTGATGGTACCTCTATGTTACCAGAAAATACTTTCGTCACTTATTCCGCTGATAGTACTATCAGATTTTGGAATTTTGACGGTTCTGTTAACTCGACCGCTTCAAACGGTTCTTCCGTCGGAAGTAACAACAACCCATCTATAAAAAGAAACATTTATAGCAAGGAGTGTTTGAAAATTGTTTATGCGGATCCAGACGGCAAATACCGTTCATGTGCTTTGGAGACAAAAAATGAAAAATCAGGTTGATACTTTAAGAATTATAATAATATTTAATTATTCTTGATAATTAAATGTTAATTAATTATTCTTGATAATTAAATGTTAATTAATTATTCTTGCTAATTAAATCTTTTATGCAACAGATTCTTCGGATCAACTTAATGCTACTTCCGTAGAATCTGGTATCCGTACTTTAAAAATTAGTCCCGATGGAAAATTGATGGCATCGGGTGATCGTAGTGGAAATTTAAGGTATTTTATATGTATAAACATATGTATAAACTGTACGTATGTGCTTTTACTGTTAAAATATACTAAATGCTTTTTATACAATGTATTTATTTAGAGTACATGATCTTGATACTTTTAAAGAA